GTACTACCTGAAAGAATTGGATGGAGGCCACTATAATGGACTTGGATCTGACTCAACAATGTTATGTATCTTGCACAAAAAATGTAGCCATGTAAATTCTTATTTGTTATTTAAGCCTACATTGGATTTTGAGGGGCCTATTTTGCTGTTCGTATTCATTTTTCAGCTTACTCTGTTGCTTTGGATTCTCTGGTAAAATTTGTTTTATGAGCAGGGAAAATTGTGCGCTCACCTTTTGGTGTGATGCATGGAAAGAGTTCTCTTGTGTACTATAATGAGGGTGAAAAAGAGGGTTTGTTAGCCGGCTTATCCAAGTGAGTTGTTTTGTTTATGACATGCACTTAAGTGCTCTTGAACCAATTTCTGCATGTTTGGAGCTTGTTTATTGTCAATAATGGTCCCTGTCATGTTAATATGCAATTGTTAAAGCATTTAATCCTGAATATCTGGAATTATCAGTTTTTCCAATACTATTGATGTGACGCATAAGAGCTTGATTCAATTTCCTGGTCTTTGCCCTTAAGATTCACGTTATGACTCTAGGCCCACCTTTTAATGAACAACTAGGAATGCTCCTTGCAGAAAGCTTTTTCTGATACCAAAATATAGACTAGTGAAGCCCCATATAGATGCCTTGCACCAGGTACACTTGCCAGTCTGAGAAATAATATAGCGAAGCATGTTGCAAGCTTTATATGCAGAGGATAGTCAATTATTATTGTTGGCCTAATTCATACTATGGACTAAACTGGAACAATAGAAACTGATGACTCGTTGATGGGTGTGTTATTTAGCAGCTGCATGGTTATCTTTTTGCAGTTTGACCTTGCAACTTGGTATACATGTTTTCATTGACTTCAAGCTGCTCATTTAACATTCTTGTGCTCAGAGACACAAAACGACAATTTGTTGGATAGAAGCAAAATCTTGAAGGGAACCTACAATCTTTCTTGGTCCAAATTGTCTTGTTTAAGAGTCAAACACTGGGAATCTTCTTTAAATCTTAGCATGCATGGCATTAGAGAGTCAAACAGGAGTAATGTAAATTGCATGAAGTTGGCTACCTTAGCAAGCTTGCTGTGTGAGATGATAATAGTTTCTCAGGCCGTCGTCTAAAAGGGATTTGGTCTAGGCTTAATTTAAGTCAAAGATGAAGAGCGTAATTACTTAATGTGTGATCTTTGTATATGACTATGTTTTGTTTTGGCACCATCCTGGATCCCTGTATATGCTGATACCTGGATTTTTGTTTATGTTGCAGCCCTTTTACTGCTGGTAGATACCACAGCCTTGTGATTGAAAAGGTAAGTTTTCCTAGTGACAAACTTGAGATAACTGCTTGGACGGAAGATGGGCTCATTATGGCTGCTCGTCACAAAATATATAAGCATCTCCAGGTAAGGAGTTTACTTCCCGGCCTTCCTAAACATGTTCCAAGAACACATCTCATGCATGAAACATTCACACATTGGGAAAAAGATGCATCATGCATGCATGTGGAGAGGCATTCTTTCGACCCAACTCCCACAAATGGTCCATCAAATTCAGCAGGTTTAATCTGTGCATGTTTGAATTTTAAAAATTAGGAACCATAATGGACTATATTAAATAAGTAAAATTAGTAAGAGGTTGAATTTGGAAACTTCAAGTTGATGGGACTATAAATATAAGATCTCCAACGTACTTCTCAGCTAAGTAACTTAGTTGAATATCTATAGAAGTTTGTTTACCAGTTTGCTGTGGCCACGGGGTATTAGAGCAATACAAGTTCAGTAATTCCATTATTTCTTTTTGTTGGAAACTGATTTTAAATCTGATGCTGGATAGTTTAATTATATATTGATTTTAGAGGAGAATAGTAGAAGATCCTAGTAATAAAAGGCAAGTGAATTTCCAAAACTTGGCTACCCTACCTCTCTGAGGAATGGGAAGTAAGAATCAGAACTGGCTCTAACGTTTCGAATTTATCGAACATATTGATGCAGCCACCACTTATAGAAGTTGAGAGGAAAGCCTTCATTGTAATTGATCTTTTTAACAACTTTGTTCAAGAAGCTGGCTCCTGGCTACCTGGCAAATTATTTTCTTTTAGATAATAGAGCTCACTAGCTGTATTTGATCTTTTCATTTTGCTAAGTGATGTACTTTCAAAGAACCCCAAAAGACATATTTGATCTGATTGCAAATGTCTGATTTCATAAAAATCCTTGACCTTTAGCAATTCCTTATTTTTCTTCTCTTCAATTTTCTTTTTTATATTTTTAATTCTTCAAATGCAAATCTCTTCCTGTCCCTTTCTCTCTCTCTCTCTCCTCCCCCCCCGGGGGGAAAACATTGCTACAGATCTTCTGTAACGTCTTTCTTTCCTGCACTGCCATCATCCTTCTTCTCCTCTTCCTGCACTGTGGCTTTGTGGTAAATGCCTTCAGGACATCTGATTCTCCCCATATGACAGATTCTGATACACACACACACACACACATATATGTATGTATGTATGATGCATGCGTGCATGTATTTTTGTCTTTCACACACGTAGGTTTGGTCTTTTAGTTATCTTGGGTACTTGTAAGATTTTACGAGTTTTTTTTTTCTGTTCTCGTATTCTTCTGGTTTTGTACGTGTGCATGCATTCTGTGTTGGGTAAATTGAGAGAAATAGCTAGGTAGATCAGGGGGGAAAAGGAAAATGGGGAAGGATACTGCTTACTCAGGCCGTGAACAATATTTTAAAGTCAAATCCTACATTATGTGTCCTGAGGCAATGAATAATGAAAGAGTTGCAGTTGTATTCATTTAATCCTCAAAAAGATAGTGTCATGTTTGTCATCTTGGAACTTTTAGGAGATTTTCAGTAATCAGATGATTCAGTTTGCTGTCAACCCTGAATTCTATTCTGTCAATGATGAACAAGATTTTCAAGGTACTCTCACCAAAACAACCCATGAATGGTGCCGTTTCAAGGATGCGCTAGTGTTTCTGAAGGCCATTTGAGCAAGTTAAACTACTTAAAAATTTGCTTCTTTTTCGGAAAGTACTTGTCTTTTGAGAACCAAAAAAAAAAAAAAGTCAAAGGAATGTGAGTCGTAAAGAAGATAAAATCCGTTGGATGATTATTTGCTTTGATTTTATAATATTGGCATTGTTGTTATTGACTAACAATCAAAGGTGATAAGTGAAAGAAAGTAAATGTTAAGGGCTAAAGTGAAAATTATGCTATATTGGGATTTAACATGATCAACTTCACGTTTTGCTTTTGTCTGAGAAGGCAAAAGTGAACTTCTGGGTATATAATTACATTAGTGTATAAAGTGGTAAAAAAAGCATTTCAACTTTAGAAGATGAACATTCTGCAGAGTTGACTACCTTCCATAATGTTAGGTTCCTGTTAGATGTCTCCCGTGCATAATGCATCTCACCAGGGTTGTTAAAGGCATGATGCTAAAAATTGCTGTTAAAGGTATGATCCATTAAATAAAGGTAATCGACTAGGCGAGACTAGGCCTCAGGATGGACAACTTTTTCGTATTTTCTGAGTTTGTTTGCTAGTTAACTTTCTTGGTTATAGTAGTCAGAGATGTGTAGGAGTTCATTCCTGTAGAGGTTCTTTTAATAGGTTCGTTTTGCTTGAAAGAACAGAAGTTTAGGTTGTCTGTCAAGACTCTGAATCTAGAGGATAAGCTTCTCTTTTAATCTTTCATCAGATTTGCATCTCTTATAAGATTTTTATCTTGTTTTACTGTTCAACCTGATGTTTTGCTTACTTCACAATGCAGGGAGTGCAGTTCCACCCAGAGAGCATCATAACAGATGAAGGCAAAACAATAGTTCGTAATTTCATCAAGATGATTGAGAGAAAGGAAGCGGAATCTGAGGACTGAATAGTTATAATTTATCTTGTCAAAGCATCATGTTCAGGGAATTCATAAAATTCTCAAGACTAGATATTGCAATTTATTGGCTTGTTTTCTTTTTGGAATAGAATTTGAAAAACCTCACTGGGCTCTCCTACCCTTAACAGTGTGTGGATATAGAATTGCTGCTGTATACTTTTCTACAGGGCTAAAACGCCTTATGTAATATTGTTAGGACTGTTTTTTCTTTTTTCTTTTTTTTTTTATGTTGTTGTATATAGAAAATTGGCAATTGTTTTTCAAGTTCTGGCCCAATTGCATGACTGACTTTTGTGATAGAGCTAGTTGTGTTTTTACAAATTTGCAATGCAATACCAGAAAAATAGAGTAAAACCGAGACTCACATAAGTGTTTTTTATTAAATATTTTTTAATTAACAGATGTCCAATAAGCAATAGTTAACACACCTATATTCCATCCAATTTATCATGTATATACACGCTAACAATTATTTATCTTTTCTTTTATTTATATACTTTTTCTAATTAATTTTCTTGCATTTATATGCTTTTCTTAATTAATTTTTTATTTTTAAAAATTTATTTAGCATCTGAAATATATTTTAATGAATGTCCAATAGATACATGTTGGAAAAACCCAAAAAGTAAAATTATAATTAGGAAAGTATCTAAAATCAAGGGGCAATAATAGATGCGACTGCATGCACCTGTACCTGAGTGCAAGAATTTTCATACTGTAAGGACCAAGAGCAAGGAAAACTAGATGGACCGCATGCACCCGAGTAAGGACCAAGTTGCAGCATTTTGAAGTTGAAGGACTGCAGTGAAATTTCCAAAAGTTCAGTTAACCCTTTGTGAAACTTTTCCCAAGGCACTTACCATTTCTCTCCGCAGCTTCAGCTGTCACAATCCCTGATTCATCGGATTCCAATATTTACCACATCAGAAAAAATTGTCCTCAGAGCATACGACAAAGTCTAGAATTCAATGGCTAAACAGACCAAATGGCCTTTATAGTTTGGATTATCATACACAGAACCATGCTTATAATACAAACATTCTACTGTACTTTCATGGATGGATATCATTTTTTTCCCCCATAAACAATACCCCTTTAAAAATTGGAAGGCATTAACCCCACCACAAGTTTCTATACAATAATAACTCCATCTATTAAATATGTTTATTGGAACATATATGACAATGGGAATTATAATACATAGCTGAAGACAATAATACATCAACAAGGTCATGGCTGGGAACCTCAAGGTATGAAATATATACATACCCCCTTGATGATCAATGGCTAGTATAAAAATCTTATCACCCTCTGTAAAACAATCTGTGGACTTCTCTTTTTATCTTCTCATCTTTTTTTTCTTTTTTTTTTTTTGGTTTTTGGGGGTGGTATGCACAGGGAAAGAACATTAATCAAGACTCAGAAAGGAAGGTGTGACAGTACAAATATAGGATATAACAACATCCACAAGGCATTAATTCTTATGTAGAGGATGCCTCTCCCTGACTTGATGATGATCTGCTCCGGTGGTGTCGCTTGCCCCGGTGACGGTGAGCTCCTCCGAAAGTAACAGGGTCGAATGCACGGAGGCCTTCAGCTTCCATAGCATCTAGGACACATTCAGCTGGAGGGACCGTGTATCGAGCACGGTCGTAGCAGTATGAGTATTGCATATGCTTCTTCCTGAAGTTCTGCATTCTAATTCTTTGTTCAGGTGTGATACCAGTAGGGATTGAATCATGTTTTGGAGCAATGTCACACTTTGTTGCCTGCTCAGTAGGATCAACTGCACAGCCATGGAGCACGAGGTCGGAGAATTTTGCAATGTATGGGGCATATTTGTAATTGATTCTGAATTTTCCTCCATTTGTAGCCCAATCAGAACCATCCCATATTGTTGCATACAATGACATAGGCTTCGAAGGGAAGTCCCCACCCATTGTTGCTGTCCTTTTGAACTCTCTTATGGGGACATTATCAACATAAAAGCTGCAATAAAAGAAAATGAGACAAACAAAACGGGATCAAAGTCTTGATGAAAAGACACCATAAATGTACATTAGCCAGAACAAATCCAACAAGCGTGGTCTCATTGCTTCTAGGCTCATCTTTGATGTGGGGCAAGAGTTAAAAAAAAAAAAAAATTTTTAACTGCCTGGTGCACAGTAAAAACTTCTCTGTAATGTATCTGGGGATGTTTCTGATTTTATTTGAATTTTTTCTAGAAGACAAGCTATATTGGCCATATAATACCACTTCTGTTCACCTCAATGTCAAAAAAGCTCTTAAATAAGCAAGTAAAACATGAAACTACTAGGAAAAGGGAAGAAAACCTTGAAATCTGCAAATTGCATTGCATCGTACAGGGCGTGCAAATATGTAAAAACAATGGAAAATCAGGATAGTATTCCAAAAATGCAAGAAATAACTGCTAGTATCCTCAAACAAAAAAGAGAAAAAATTTTGTTCACAAAACAGCCATAATAGTGAAATTGGACTGTTCATGACATAGTGTAGTCATCAAGTGAAAATTTAATATTGGTAAGAATAATAAAAACTCCACAATATAGGATCCCAAATGCAGATCAACAATATTCAAGTACAGATGGGAAACTTATGGTTACATAATTGTCATTCTCACTTTGATCAGGTTGCTGACTCATTAACTGCATACAATTAAGAATTGATAACAGAGAGCATAAAATTCCTTTACAGGAGGATCATTACTTCTCATTTACTATTCTTGGTAACGAAAATAAGAAATATGGTCAAATTAAGACATACCATAACATCTTCAGAACAGGAAATAAACATGGAAAGGATCCCCATAGCATTTCCAAGAAAGGAAAGGCTATAAATATAGATTGAGACATCACAGCAGAAACCCCAAAAACAGTAAAATTAGAACATCAGTGCACATAGAACGCCTCCATCAAAGAATCAGTCAAGTAAAAGCTGTTACAGAGCCAAGTATGCAACCAAAAATAGCAAAATTCAGAGGACAAGACGGAAACAAATAATACAAGAATCTTAGATTTTGGGATTCTTACATAATCTGACTCTCAGTCCAGAGGATACTGTACTGATGGAAATCTTCCGAAGGATCAAACCAAAGCCCATATCTTTCTTCTCTGCCAGCGTTTGTGCTACCATTTCCATAAATATTGGTCTGCATCCTCCAGTCTTTACCCCTTATGTTCCCCAAGAACTCAAAATCCAGCTCATCATGGTTCTTTTGAAACATTTCACCATTTGACATCTGTCAACCACCAAAATTAACACAATTCTAGCATTAAAAAGGAAAAGAGCTTATCACATTTTTATTCCTTAAAAAATACTCCTATTTTCAGTTTACCCCCTAAACTTTTAATTTGCTCACTTAAACCCCCTTTAGGACAAAATTTGCGCCTTGCATTATTTATGATCTTGTTCACTTTACCTTGTTTTCCTTTCTTTTATTTCTTTTTTCTCTTTCTCTTTTATTCTTCCTCTTTCTCACCAAAAATTTTAACCTTAATGATTGAATTAAAAAAGAGTGGAGAATAATTCTGGTACAGAGATTCCTATCTTCTCATTAAAATGATTAAAAAAAATATTCAAAATCACTTTCTTAAAATACAATTTTTTTTAGCCATTCATTCTTTTAATTTTGGGTTTCCACTTTCCTTTCTAGTTTCTTCAGTTTTATACTCCCAAGCGAAAATATCTTTAAGAACTTGCAAATTGCTGACCTGATTAATAATCATCAATTGAAAAATTCGCTGCACACATGGCATCATACAAAAAATTTCAAAATTAATTTTTGATGCCTTTTAAACCCTTCAGCCTAGAAATTTTGCACATATACAAACTCAAAACAAAAATTTTCGCTTTGACAGGAATCTTCTATTGCGAATAGCGATGCAAAGAGAGAAGAAGCAGAAAAAAGAAATAAAAAGAAAGATGAAAACTGATTAGGGTGTTAATTGTTAGTAATTTTATTATTAATTTCCCCTTTTATTCTTGCCAAATATTGTTTTAATTATTAATATTTACTTATATTTGGTATTGGAGTTTAATTTCAGGAACAAAGCAGAAAATTACCAAAAAGGAGGGACTTTTATGGGAATAGGGAGACTTCTAAGGGCTTCAATTCTTGGGCCCTTGAATTGGTGGGGGACCACAAGCTAGTGGAAAGCATCTAGTCATTTGGGCTCTTAAAAGAAAGCTACGGGAAAGAGACTTGGAACAAGAAGTACTTGGAGGGCTTTGTCCACATGTGTGGGGACCACCTAGATAGCCTTTAGTCATTTTCCTCTTGTTGCTTAAATAGGGATAACGTAGAGTAGCAGGGACATCTCTAGTTTTAGTTTAGTTTTAGTTTCTTTTCTTTCTTTCCTTAGACTGGCCTCTGACACACGCCAGGTGTTCGACAATATTCCCCAACGGGGAGATTTTCTCATGAGGCGTGGTTAAGTTTTTCTAGTCAAGGGAACAACTGACGATTTGGTTCGACAATTACTGTGAGATCGAATCTGTTTTAATTATTTTCTTCATTTATTGGTATTTATATGTTCCTTGATTTTAATTGCTATGGCCTTGTGTATGATTGATTAGTGCGCAATAATTAATTATTCATATAGGCTATTTTTGTTAAATAGGGGTAATTGAATCCGTAATTGTTCATTATCTCTACCTCAGTAGCAACTGGCGTAATTGGGTTTATGTCAGGGGAGCATATGATCTAATTTAAATAAACCCTCGTAGCGTGTTTGTTGGTTAGGATTGGGCCTTTCTAATTATTAATGCAATCTAGAAATTAAATCCTACGGTCGTACTTAGGGTTATTTTTGGGTTAGAGAAATAGCTAACGGTCGTACCTTAGCTATCGAGAAATTAAAGAAGGGTTGGTTGTTTATCGCGTGTATGACAACTATAACTAATCTATTGCTAAATGTTGGAATTATTTCTGCATCAATGATCAGTGCATGAACCATTTCTGATGTGTACCCTTGGCTAGAGTTTCCCCAATCATTTCTTTTAATTAATTATTTTCTGCAGTTAATTTATTTAGTTAGCATTTAATCCAAAACCCCCCATACTTCGGACTCTAGAAGAAACGAATTATCCCCAATCCCTGTGGATTCGACCATACTCACTGCTATATACAAAATCTGTATTTTTCTCGAGTAGGTTTTTATTATTGCACAGGTTCGGCACCTGTCAATTTTTGGCGCCGTTGCCGGGGACTGGTGCCTGATTAATTTGTTTCTTTTTCAGTTCATCTTGTCTTCATTTTTTTTATTTATTTTTCTCTTTTTTTTTAATATAGTTTATGGCTGCTAACATTTCATATTTTGATGATAGACTGGACTTTGTTCCTGAATGGGGTTATGAGACTCATGTGTTTCCTAATGATCAATGGGATAGTGCAAATTGTGGAACTTATTTTGACTCAGGTTATTCAACTGACACATGCCCCGCATTTCAAGATAATCTAAGTGCTCCAATTGATACTTTTGGAGATTTTTCACCTCAATATCAAATGCAGTATGACCCTTATTCAAACGGGTATGATCAAGGATGGTGGAATAATTCCAATTTTGATTATGCGACCGGGCCAATGGATTTTCAACAGCAAGAGTCTCAACAACCATCGTCCTTGTCAGGTATGTCTTTTCAGGAATTGGGTGAATTATTTATTAATACATACCGATTCCAACAGGAGACACAAATGAGGAATGAGATGATGAAGGATCCAATGAGTTATCTGGCAGATCAACTATGTCTATTGATATCCAAAATGAATCGATTGGCTTCTCAAATGGAAGAATTGTCCTCGGAAATCATTGTTGATTTTGAAGAAAATGAGAGTGCAATTTGCTTGACTAGTGATGAGGAGATGCAAGAGTGTAAAAATGAAAAATCTACAGATGCAGTTGAAAAAGAAGCCGAAAATGAAGAAATGGAACCCCAACCGCAACCCATTCAAGTGAATGAATCCAGTGAACAATCTCCAAATGCGGTGACATCTTCTCCACTCCTTAATCAATATTTTCCTGACTCCTATTCTTCAATTCCTGTTACTGAAATTGATTTTATTATACCAGAAAATTTGAAATTTCATGACAGGAATAAGTTAAGAGTGGCAATGGAAAAATATCTTGAACCGAAGAATGCATGTGATGGAGGAGTGAATGGAGAATGCAAATTATCGTTGACTTGTTTAGCACCATTTACTAGTCCATGGAAGCCCGTAGCTCGTGTGCTCAAAGATTACTCCATCTATGAGGGTTACCAGGATCATATTGAAGATGAAGCATTGAAGCGAGCCACAAGATTTTATCCTCCATGAACAAGACATAACAATGTCTAGCCAAAGACATTAAAGAAGGGCGCTTTTTGGGAGGCAACCCAAATATTGGTTTTATTATTTTTAGTTGTTCAATTCTTTCGTTCTGTTGTTTCTCATTTGGATAGTAGTTGGTCTTGATATTTTTCTCCACTGTGATCAGGAAGTGAAATCTTGGCGTGCCCACGCGGTGTTTAGGTCTCCTGAGATCAGAGGACGAACACCAATCTTGGCGTGCCCACGCGGTGTTTAGGTCTCCTGAGATCAGAGGACGAACACCAATCTTGGCGTGCCCACGCGGTGTTTGACGACCCAAAACATGAAAAAAAAAAGTTTCAAAATTTCACATTGAGAAAATTCAAAAATTCAAAAGGCATTCTTCTTTTTCTTCAAAAATTCAAATTTTGGAATTTCAAATTCAGGAAAAAAATTTGAAAAAAAAAACTATTTTTTTCCTCTTTTCTTTTTCTCTCTTTTTCTTTTTCTCTTTTTTCTTTTCTTCTTTTTTCTTTCTTTCTTTTTCTTTCTTCCTTCTTCCCCGCAGCTGTCCCTCTTCCCCTTTTCCTTTCTTCTTCACCCACCTCCCTGGTCAACGCCGCCGCCCCTGCTTCCTCTGCTCTCTCTCCCTGCCACAATCTCGCACAGCCGCACGCCCAAGCGCGACCATTGCGCCGCCGCTTTCTCAGACGCTGCGCCTCCCTCCATCTCCCTGCCGCGCGCCTCCACCAGCTCGCTCAACCTTCACCAGCTCTCCCTCTCTCCTCTGCCTTGCCATGTCCAACGCCGCCAGCGCTCCTTCTTCCTCTCCCGCAGCGGCGCTCGTCCAGCCCACGACGAGCTCATCTCCACTTCGCCGCTCAGCCACCTTTCGCTGTTGTCCGCCCCACCTCGCGAGCCCACAGCCGCGAGACTGCCATCCTCAGCCTCTCCACTTAGCTCCACTCATGCGCCGCTGCTACCATCAAGCACCACCCACCTCGCGCAACCCCAAGGTCGCCGCCTCTCCTTCGCTGCGCCATCGCTTCTTGTAGGCGTCCAGGTGTCGGTATTTAGTCTTCCCAACCCTTAATATCGATTTTACTATCTCGCTTGCATGGGTAACCCTTGCAATTCACCGAAGTCTACTTTGCTGCTCTCTAATTGTTTTAATTGCCATCATCTGTGGGGCATAATTTATGTGGTTACCATTTTCATTACTTATCGATTGTGGGTGAACTAAATTGAATTATTGGGGACAGTTTGCCGAGTGGTTCAAATTGCTATATTCACATTGGACAGTTTGCTGGAGTTGCCAATTTCTGTGGTCATTGGCGTTTTAGTGGGTTGACATATGTAATTGACTGTCCGATTGGGGACATTTGTTGAGATTTTGGGTGGAATTGTGTCTAATTGCTGAAATTTGCTGATTTGTTTAGACACTAGCACTGCTTATAGTTTGCTCGAGTGAAATTGGTTGGACATCCCTTGCCCGTGGAGTGTAACTGTTACATTGTTTGGGGCAGTTTTTTTTGGTATTGATTGAATTGTTGGGCGTAAATTGCTCAGGACTTTACATTGCTAATTTGGTGGGCCATTTATTGTGCATTACCTTTTTGAATTGGGAGATACCTGTGCTTATTGGGTTTTGACTACTTGAGATTTCTGTCGCATCTGGGGGATAAATTTGATGACTTTCGTGCCAGTTTATTTGTTTGGAAATTGTTGGGGGTAATTTGGGAGTTACGTGTCAATTGGGTCCCGTGTTACCCTCTGCCATTCAGTGGTACTGAGTGGTGTGTTTGGCGTTATCACATGTCTTGGGTTGGCCATTTGATTTCAATTTTCCTTATGCATGCACCAGTGGTACTGGTGAGGGTAGTTTACATAATATTTGTTACTCCTGTGTTATTGGTTGCCTAATCGACTACTGGGCATTTGTGGTTGAGTTGTTTCTGTCCAACTTCTGAACTGTTGTTGCTGGAGTTG